ACAATTAAACTCCTTTGTATACTTCCTGTTGTTAATAATTTAGCCAAATCCATTCATTGTATTTGTAGTTTTGTAGTAAATGAGTGAAAATAACTATGTATGATTAGAATGTAACATTATATATATATATATTTGAATTTAACCCGATGTCAGCAATGAGGTGACAACAAACAACTTACATATTGAGATATTAGATTAGACATAGATTTCCAAGTGATAATAATTTTTAGTGAAAACTTAGAAAGTAAAAAGAAAATTAGCAGATTAAAATTAGCTTAGATTAAAGGGAAAAAAGCTTCAGTTTCTCAAAATACAAATCAAAAATAGATTACATACCTTAATTTAATAGAACAAGACAAGTTATGCAATTTATTTTGATCTGGTTTATATTCTTAACTTCTGGAGATGCATAATTTTTTCTTCTACTTTCTATAATGATCACTAGAATTATTCATTTTTCTAAAAAAAAATTGACCTGAGAATATAAAATCTATTCATAATTCTGGCACTATTTATTTAAAAACTAGTATCAAAGCATTCTGCTTCTAGAACAAAGTTTCCAAGGGTAATAATTATACTTTATATCTAAACAGCTTTTTTATATATTTTAAATGCAAAAACATTTACAAAAAACACAGTGTTATGAAGAATGTTTATAATCCTTTTCTGCAAGAAATTAAGTGCAAGATTCCCCCCCCCCTCAAAAGAAAACATGTTTATATCATACTCTCAAGTAGAATTTAAAGTTTTAAAAGAAGTCAACATACTAGTCAACTGGATATCTATAATTTGTATTCATTCTGAGTTTTAAATAAATAATTTTTTAGTAGCACAGACTAGTAAACTTCCATTGACTTCATACAAAGTTCAATTTTTTTTCTTCTGCAGCTAACACTGTTAAGTGTATATATTTTGTAACTTGACCAATGAAAAATAATTGCATACAAAAATATTTACCATTAACTGAACATTTATTTTGCAAATTTTTCCATTTATTTGAGCTTCTTTAAAAGATAGTGCTACATTCTTGCGTAATTTTATTATGATTACTTTATTATTTGCATTTTCAGTATAAAATAAAAATGGCTTAAAATCAGGATACATAGATTAAAAAATTAACTGTCACTTTGGAAGACATGCTTCTAAATAATCAATATTTTATTCTGACTGATTTTGTTAATATTTCCAGATTTATTCCCATTATCCAAAGAAATTATGATTAAAAAATTCCATTATTTACAGGTGTATATATTATGCAGTTAAAATCCTGAAATCTTGTGTAATAGAACAATGCTTTATATATACCATCAATATTCAGAAAGTATTACTGGTAATATATTTTATCAATGTGTTTATCAAGAATAAAGAAATAGTACTTGATAGAATTTACAAAGAGAATAAAAGATACAAATGTAAAAACATTACAAAAGTTAATGACAATTGGTTTTAATAAAACCACCTTCAGCTATGATAGAACTATAAATTAGTGGATCAGTTTCACATTAAATGTTAATATTGCCAAACATAGCAATTACTGAAAAAGAGTGGATAATAATTCTTTAGTTAAAATAGTATATCATAGTTTCATATCTGCTATAAGAATCCTCATGGTCATAAACCCGCTGATGTATAAACAATATTAAAAAATAAATTAAAATAATTTAAGTATAACCACCACTTTAGCCACGAAAATGACAGATATATAAAAAAAAGACATATTTGCCATAAAAATACACACAAAGGTCAACACATGTATTTTAATATCTACTACACTCCTTAACATCTCGAACTATCTTAGGTAAGATCTTTACACAACTCATAGAATATGCAGCAATAACACACTTTTTAAAACAGCAATCATCACAAAATGTATACATTATTTGAACTATTGTCCTCATCTTTGTCACCATATTTATTACAACATTTCAGCCGTTGTACGCTCATGCCTTCTTCAGGAATGTTGGAATGTCAAACTGAACCCTTTATTTTGCTCACTGGGGTAGACTGTTCTACTTCCACATGCCATGTTTAATGGATGTCAGTTATCTCCTGTTAATTTCCCTCTGAAAGTTCTCACACTCTTTGGGTCCTTGTCACTGGATCTAACCAATGCCTTTATCCACTGTGTCATGTGTCCTTGAGGACATCTGTGTATGAATTTCTGGGTATTATAAACCTAATGTCTTCAGCAACCTTTTTTACCAGTGCTCATATTGCAATTTTTGCTGTTACCATTCATGTTTTTACCAGAGCTCATCCTTAAGTTTACGAATTCTCCAAGGTGTTCTTTGTCTATGATCTCAACCTGATCCCATAGAGGGCAGTGATCTCCCTTCTCTCTCCATAAGTAGTCATCCACGCCTGATTTTTCCACTTCCCCTCATGTTACAGCTTTCTGGTGTTCTTGAAGCCTTACCTTAAGGGGGCGGCCTGTCTCCCCTTTATATTTCTTTCCGCAGCTGCATGGTATAGCGTATGCACAGTCTTTAGTCATGTTCTCCTCTATGGAGGGGGGGTCTTACTCGGGAGAGGCCTGCAAAGTATTGGAAGGCCAGAGCGTACAACGGCTGAAATGTTGTAATAAATATGGTGACAAAGATGAGGACAATAGTCCGAATAATGTAAATAATGTACATAATACCTCATCTCAGAAATATAGACACACACAAAATGTATGTTATTGAAATTTTTCTCATCAATCCAAGAAAGAAAATACAAAATAAACAGATCATGACAACATTTATGTCTATTTTAACTAAAAATCAAACTTTACATGATTATTTTACCAATTTTTGACTTGACTCAGACTAATTAATAGTATCAATGGCCAAAATGACAATAGATTCCTGTCCTTTCAGATCATTCATCAAGACTAATAAAAAAGCATTTTAAAAACAATTCTTAGCTGTATATAATATCAAAATGTTTTCAATGGCCTAATTTATTTATAGCCAAGAACCAATAATTAACTGAAATCTGGGGTACTGCACCAGAGCTCTGTCACCTAAACAATACCTCTCCTTGCACTAAAGATGAATAGGGATAGAAATTTAGCTGGATGTCTACAGCAATAGCTAAGGGAACTAGGCAATCAATGGATTATAATACCATCTTGCATATGATTTCCTCTGACACAATTGTCATATGGTCAATGAATGATGAATAACTTATGTAAATTATCATTACTGAGTACTACGAAAATGTTATTGTTGCTATGAAAAGAAAAGTTGAAGAAAACAATATTGAACCCCAAAAATAAAATTCTATAAAGAAGCTAGCAAACCCACATATATAAGATATTGCAGAAATTGAGCTTATGATAACAATTACACATGTAAAACAAGAATTATTATATGCTTTTCTATTTGAACTAGTATATTCATCTTGGTTGTTTGACCATAGTACCCTGCCAGCATTCTTCAGGTGTCTATCTTTATACTTGGTACACTTCTTGGAATTTTGAAATGTATCCTTTACTTAATCCATTTCAGTAAATCTTTCTCATTTCCATGTTTAAAGGATATTTCATAATATAATACTCAGCAATTTTTGTGTTGCTTGTTACTTTCTTCTACTAAACTATGTGAATTTTCAGCACTATCAGGAATTGAACTAACAACAGCCAGGAAACCAAATATGTTTGAACCAATGCTTTAATCTACATGTGGTGCTTGGATAATTTAGTAGTGTAAATTTGAAGTCTAAAACATAATGTTTTTATTCAAGTGGTGAAATTTTTATTGTCAAGCACTTGATTCAGATGGTAGAATTTTTTTGCGGGTCCTATCATTTTTAATTGGAGGTTTCCAGATACTACTAATCTCCCTACTAAGTCTATTGTATAGGATGTCTGTGCCTCACATTTGCACTGATTTTTTTTCAATTGTTTTATCCTCCAGCATTGTTCTCTATTATTTTGAATTCATTCCATATGAGTTGATGACTACCCTTTTTTCCACTACATATAATTAACAAATCTCAGATTTCAATGTTTCTTCCTTTTTATGTTCCTTCAGCCTTATTTTAGTGAGTAGCTTGTATTTTCTTGTATTCTTTGCCACAACTGCATGAGATGTAAAATACAAGTCTTGGTTATGGTTTTTTCCCAGGGAAAGAAAGTGGAGCTTAGTTCAGGTGAAATCTATGAAGGGCTGAACTACCTTTGAATATCATCCTGATGCTGTATAGACAACAAATCATTTGAATCTTTTCAGATATAACCCAAGTAGATATTGTGGCATTTGCCTGTAGTTAAAGTGTACATAGATAGATATGAAAAGCAAAATTAAGCCATGAAAATATTTAATAATGTTATGATATCAAATAAGTCAGCTACTAGTGCAGCTTAAAAAAACATCCCCCAAAATGTACAGGAATATATCACATATGACATATTTTTGTCCTGAATAATGCACAGTTATAGTTCTATTATTATTATAATCCTTCTCTAAGCCATGTTATTTAAATCATTACTTTTTATAGTATAATCTATGCTTTTATAAAAAACATCAGTAATTTGTAAAATCTTTTTCCAACTTGTTTTCTAATCAAATAATATAAAAATCCCTTTACAGGCAATAGTCTTTTTAATCTCTTGAGTATATCAGATTGATAAGAATTAGGCAGTTGATTAAAAACAATTCTAAGTACTAAATTGACCTCATTGGAATTTGGGATCAAGGTGATTAAACAGGCAGTATCTTCTATGTCCTCATCAGTAGCCACTTATCTTTTTACATCATCTCTCTTCATTTATTTATTATTTAAATATATTTTTCTTATAAGTAAGCATAAAAGTAATGTGTAGATATAATCTAATGAACATGATATAAATATGAAAAACAACTGTCATTTTTGTTAATGAAATACACAATGTTTGTAGAGTTACCTTAATACTTTATCTCTTAAAATTGTGTAATGAACATGTCTCATTCTCTATTTTCAACATGAAAAGTTTTTGAAAATTTTACATGAAAACTCAAGCAAGTAATACTTCTCACCTTGCTTAAGTAAGAGACTTTGACAAATTTTTTGCTTTCTCTATCCTCATAAAGCTCTATCCGCAAATCAGCAGCAAATGGAGGCCATTTAAAATCAAAGATGCCAAAGGCTCCAAGTAGTGCAGTTAATGTAGAATCATGGCAGGAATACAAATATAATCGATAGCTGAAAAAAAACAAACAAACAAAAAAAAAAAAAAACAAATGTTAGTTAATGGTCATTCAAAGCAATTAAAATATTACAGTAATAAAAACAACATTAGAAAACAGGTAAAAAATGCAGAGTTTAATTATTCACAGGGTTTTGAATAAAAAACTTTGAGGAAGTTTGATTGGTACAAGAATAGATGAATCAGGTGTTCAGATTATAAAGATTTTATATTTAACTGCAATGGATTTAAAAAAAAGTCAAATAAGTTCCTAAACAGAAGAATACAAATCTTTAGGCTTTTATTCTTTTCTAGGCTAAAAAAAAAAAAAAATACATGTGCACTAATACAATATGAAAATATATTATTTCAATATCATAGCAAAAAATATGACCATGACATTCTTTTATCCATAGAAATTTGAAAGGTGAAATTAAATTTAAATAATTACAATTATGTAAAATTTACACTTATTAGATAAACAGTAAACTTACATTTTAAAATGGGGATTAATATTCTTAAGAGTCAATTTAAAAAGTTAAAAAATAAAATATAGAAAAATTAAAGTTTCGCAGCAAATAAAGTTAAAAATTTAATAAATCAAGCTATATTTTTTGTAAGCTTATCAAGTGCTTTTAAAAGATTATAAAGCAGAAAAATATTAACAAAACTGAATCGTGCTAAAATAAATAGAATTTTAATATGCAGTGCATGGCAGAAATATCGCCCAATGGTGTCTTCATCTAAATAATGTCTTACCATTACATGTAGATATTATATAATAAAAATGATATCTTTGGTTTTCAAGTAGAAATCATTTTGCACTGAAATGTCTAAAGAATTATTCTAGTTAGTGCCAATGTGTGTGAAAAATAAGTAGTAACAAACTGCATTATTTCTCCATGCTGTTGGCCTGGATGCATTGAAAAGACATATGAATGATGTGTTTTCAGCAAAAGAGACTAGAAATCAGGGGAGAACATCGATTTATATATTACTACACTATGTAACAGCCAAATCACGTAAATATTTTTTCAATTTTTACACGATTCTCTGTTATGCAACCAAGTAGTGCTGGGTGTGAGTAACAACCTGGCTCAGAATAGAATACATTCAATGCTAACTCTCTGGCAATACGTCATCTTGTGGAGGCACAACTACATAGCTGAAAGCTATGGGAAACTTTATTGAGACAGAACAGATAAACAAAGTCTAAAATCAAAATTACAAAGAAAGTTCTGTAAGTAGGGGCAAATAAATTGAACATTCTGTGGTAAGATACACAAAAACTGGAAAGAAACATATCCTACTTGTGACTCAAAATGTAGACTTTGTAACAGCAGAAATCATATTGCAATGAAATGTCTGAAGATTTATTCTAGTGTAAATACAATAGAGGTTCAATCTAAGAACAAGATTAACTGTGTTATCAGATTCTTCTAGTGGCAGATATGTGTTATGTGTGAACTTGGAGAAAGAGCAGTCAGACAAAATAATCTATGTGAACATGATGCTCAACTAAAAGAAGGAAAAGTTCTAAGTGGCCTTTAGAGCTGTTATCAAGGTGACTTTGTAGAAATATGTGTGATGATGATCTGCAATCATCTATCAAGAATCTACAAATGTAGAATGGGACTAAAGTAAGTGTCAAATTGTGCTGCACAGCTCAAAGAACATAAAAAGTATTTGGCTGAATTCACTGTAGTCTAGGAGACTCTAATGCTATTGCTATATAAGTGTGCAAATGAACAGATGAACAAAATAAACTTGACCTATTATAATATTACTAATGTTAATTCAGTATCAGAGAGTAATCAACTGCTTATTATTCAGATGTCTTCAATGGAAAATTGAGATTATCACCTAAGCAAGTTGATGAAATTGCCACATATTACTGTACCTGGACATATACCAGTGTCCATTATTCCTCAAATTAAAAAAGGAACTAAAGGATTGTTAGGAAATTCAAGTTATCATGCCTGTTGACATAGCAATAGCTGATTGATAATCACAACAAAATACTCTGGTGACATTCATATGTGCATTGATCTGAGACCCCTGAACAAAGAAATCAGCAATCAACTTCATGAGGCACTTTGTAACCCGTGATGTTCTGCTAAAATTTATGCAGTAACCAAACTATAACCATCTAGTACAGTAACTCTGTTGAACCATAAATTACTTTATCAAAATTTCTACCATGACTATATAAGCCTGATTTCAAAATATTTCTTGGAACTATTTGCATTTATGGGAAAGAATTGGTATAAAAAGATTTTACGTGATTTTAAAATTTGTAGCTATTTTTTAATTAAAAGTATTTCTATGTAAAGCACAGATGAAAACTTAGAACCCGAGTTTTCTTGTGTTGGAAAGTTTTATATATGACTGAAGCAGCAAAAAACAATAGAAACAAATTAATACAAAAAGAGAGAGAACACATGAAGCTTTTTTATATTTGAATTTCCTTGACATATTTCTGATAGCACTATGTCTTAGAAAAGCAAGAGAAATCATTTGTCCACATAATATGTAATTAAAAAAAACAATCCAAATTATGTTAATATATTACAGGTGAAAAAATTTATGTAAATGAACAACTCACCTGCCTTCATCACTGTCCATTTTTAAATGTTCAAGGAACATGTTTATAGCTTTGCCACAAGACAACATACATGCAACTGGGTTATCTTTGCTATGAATGAAATAAATGAGAAAAAAGATATAATACTGATTTTTAAAAAATATATGAACAGTTCTTCTGAAGGACAAAGTTTAGCATGAAAAAGATAATGAACAAATGTAAATATTTCATCGTCAAAACAAAAAATTGTTTATTCCAAAGAGCAAAAGAAATTGGTAAATTTCTGATATTTTAAAGTTTTTAAAAGCATTTATGACATAAAATATACTTCATGACTCATTTTATAAATTGTTACAACTCTGAATTGAAAAAATTCTTAATAAATCCTTTCATAAGCCTTTTGTAACCAGAAAAAGTATTTTTTTAATATTTAGAAATAGACTAATGAAATTATTAAAGCTTGAAAGTTAATCTCTTTACTAAAAAAGAAAAAAAAAGAATCAAATCTTCCTGGTCACTTATGATTTTCTAACTCATTGACTCCTATGTTGTTATTCAAGTATTAAAATATATTTGAGACTTATTTTCTGCCAGAAGATGAGTGGTAGCACTTACACATTTTATAATTCAGCTATAAAATATTAGACTAATGACATTCCTATTCAGTGATATAGTATATATTATCATAAAAAAAAGAAAGAAATGATTTTGCCTTTGTTATAGGACTTCAGTGTACACAAAAGAAGAATTGATTGTTTATGTTGTATCGCATTGTTCTACAACATGTAATCAGTAGTCAATTTCCACTTGTCTCTTTATTATACACTTCTTCATGACATATGCAAATAGGTACAATCCTATTTACCAATCTACAACTCCCTGAATCAAAGAGGTTTAATGCCATCTTTGGTTCAGAGATTTGTAGTGGATTGGTAAATGAGATTGTACCTATGATAAGGTTGTTCTCAAACTTCTACAATCTCTTTTCTCCTCACTCCTTGAGGTTTCTGTCCTGTTCTTTTTCATGGAGATCTTGGTCTCATCTTCTTCCATGTCTGAGTCACTACTGCTATCATCCATAGGCTCATCTTCCATTGCATTATCCTGATCTAAAGAACTTAAACTTTCTTTTTGTCAAGATCTTCCATCAAAACATCTTCCTCTTCAATTATGGGTCTCAATTGTTCAGAATGGACCATTAGGCATTTTTCTTTCTTTGATATTATAGCTGTGTGTTATGTCTCCTTTGCATGATGAAATTAGCTCTCTCAGAATATGTGTACTTTTTTTTGACATACCATATCTTTTCATTTGTTGAGTAAGACATTGTTAACGGAGATCTTATTTGTCTTCCCATTAACACGGATGGGCTTTGCAATCTGTCTGCATGTGGAATTGTCCTATAATTAAGCAGTAACATTGATAATTAACTGTCTATAGTATCTCTACTTAGGGAAAATGCTTTTAATCCCATTTTTACTGTTTGAACCACTGTTTCTATAATCCCATTAAATTTTGAGTGATATGGTGGTGTTTTGTAAGGGAGGCAACCAATCTACCTCTACCAATTACATAGATCTTCATCACTAAATTCTGGTGTGTTGTCTGATACCAATGTTTTAGGGACCCAATTTCTACAAAATTTCACTCTTAGTAGTTGCTTTATAATAGTTGTTTTTCTATCCTTAACTGTAACAAATGCAGGCCAACTGGAAAAGGAGTCTATGAAAATTAGAAATAGTCCAATACCATTAATGTGTGCATGGTCCATATGAACACAATACCAGGGTTTTGTTTCTTTAGGCTGTGACTGTAGTTTCCTTGGTTGAAAATTCTTTATTTCTACACATTTTGGACATTTGTGTACATATTGTAATAATGTACTGTATCGTGATAATACCCTGGTGACCATGCCTCCAACTTTAATCTCCTCTTTGTGGCTGTTATCTCACAATGCACATAATCATATACACATTTTAAAATCTCTCTTTTTACTGTTTCTAGTCATACTATCACATCTCCATTGCATATATCACATATCATATATTTCCATTGTTAATTTATGCCTTATTTCTTTATAAGGTCTTTTGGAACAATTACTCCACCTGTTTCTTTTTTTTCTTTCAGCAATTTTGCTTAATATTGGATCTTGTAGAGTTTTTGATACCAATCTTTGTAGAGATAATATGCCGGTTTCAACCCAATGTAATATTTCCATTTTTTATTTTTGATCCTTATTAAATTGTAACCTTGACACATGTGGTATCTTATTACCTTTTATGTACTCAATGTCATCATAAGCCATTAATTTTATGACTTATCTTAGAATCCTGGAAGAAGTAACTTTTCGTAGCTACTTTCTAGGGTTAAAAATAAACTCTAGGGGTCAAACTTCTTTCCTAATAAGAATTGTCAAGCTCTGTCTGTGCTCCAGACAATGGCCAATGCCTCTTTTTCAATATTTGAATAATTTATTTCTGCTTCCGCTTCTTGAAAGGTACATTATCAAATGGCCTTCTTGCAATAAAATTGCTGCTCACTTGCATACATTAATTAACGTAACCTCCTTTCTGAGATCAAAGACTTTTACAATGGTTTTTCTGTGAGTATCTCTTAAATTTTGAACACTGAGTTTTGCCTTTGAGTCCCTTTAAACTCACTATTCTTTTATGGTTCTATTCAGTTGCTGTATTTTGGTAGCTATTATAAAAATTAACCAATCCTATAAAGGATTCTAATTCTTTTTTATTAGTAGGTATAGATACTGCTGAAATTTTCTTAATTAACTTTGGATCTGGTGCAATGCTATCTTTTGAAATTTGGTTTCTTAAATATGATATTGTATCACAATCAAATTCACATTTGTCTCTGTTTGTCATCCCTGCATTTTTTAACTTGTATAACAAATATTCTGTTTTTCGTTTTAATATGTCTTTAGCGGCAGCACCAAGGCAAATATCATTTTGATAAATAATCATATTACTTATTTCGTCAGTTAAAACATTTTCCATTGCTCTCTGAAAAATAGCACTTGTCATTTTCACTCCAAACGGCATTTTTGTCCATCTTAATAATCCTAGGTAGCTGTTTATCTTGGTAATTTCCTTGAATAATCAAATTTGATTATAAGCAGATTTTAAATCAATTTTTGCAAAAAATTTAATGCCTGATAATTTGTGGATAGTGGTTTTGATATTAGGAATAGAAAACGAGTCCAAGCATATTTTATGATTTACACCTATTTTAAAATCACCACATATTCTTAAGTCCCTATCTGCTTTTCACAAGATTACAATGAGAGAAGCTCATTTACTGCCACCTGGAGGAACATGCTCCAAAATTCCCTCCTTTACCATTTTCTTTAGTTTAGCAACTACCAAATGTAGAAGGTGAATAGGCAATTTATGAGATTCAAAATAAGAAGAGGTACTATTTTTATTTAATTGTATACTTGCTTTATGCCCATTTAATACTACCATTTTTACTTTTTCTGATTTTACATTACTGATTAATTTTGACATATCCACCTATATCCAGTAGTCCAGGAATTTTTTTACATTCCACTACTGTAATAGGAATAATTTCAAATTGGTCACAGGCTTCAAAAGTTCCATTGAAGTTTCTCAAAGTTTTTATAAAAGATCCATTAAATTGTCTCAATTTCTGATGAATTTTTCTCAATTTTGGCTTACCCATTTGTTCCCCCCAAATTTCTTGGGATCAGAGTGACTTCACTCCATGTATCTACTTGCACTGAAAATATGCCAGTTTCTCTTAATCTGTGAAGATATTGCATAATTGATTCCTCTTGTTTCTGTTTAATGGACAGAACTTTGCTTTTTTCCACTATGGCATGTTTCTTTTTAGGTTGTAAACTTCTTTTCATAATTTCTGAAATTTTGAAAAAAGTCAAATTCACTAATTGTTTGGGATATGACATAACAGAAATTTTCATTCACAACCTGCAAAGCTAGAAAGCAGTCAGCTAATTTCATTTTCTCCCACTCTTGCCTGGTGGCCTTTCATTTTTTAGCCCTAGCCTGGACTGCAAAACACCAGATAAAAGTCTTGACAAATTCTGGTTCATCCAATATTGTTGTATTCTGTTGTTCTATGACATGTCATCATGAGTTAACTTCCGCCTGTCTCTTACTTTACTATCCACTTTATATCACTTCTACATAACATACAAATAGGTACAATCCTATTTACCAATCCACTACAGTTTACTTACTCAGTTTGTCCACAGACAGCATGGTAAAGTTGCATAGTAGCATTCTTATCAATCATTTCCATGTATGGCACTAGCTCTTTAGGTATTTCCAGATTATGAGCCTGAAAAAACAAAGAAAATTTCAAAGAAAAAATCTTTCACATTTCAGAGTTTATATATACCCATTTCTAAGCTACAATCATTTTGTATTTGGAGAGAAGATTTACAATCAATGATTTCAACAAAACCATTTTATCTAAATTTAAATGCACTATCAGCGTTAAACATTCACCATGAAAGGCAGTGCAGAGTCAGATTATGAATACATTACCAATAAGACCTGAAGTCATAACCAAATCACATGATACAAAAATGCATTTTTATGCACTTAACTTTGGCAACTGAAAAGTACGTTTTTAGCTGGACAGTTTATCATTGTTATACTAATACCAACCATGAAGTTCTCATTTGATTAATATTTTCCAAATAGTGAGGCAATTCCAGTTACTTTCTCCTTGACTGATCGATTACAATAAATTGAACTTGATATTCAAAAATTAAAAGAGTATCAAATTCATTCCAATGACAAATACTAAATATCAAATTCATTACAATGACAAATATATAAACACACATACATATATAGATACATATATAGTAAAGGTAAAGTATAATCAAAGTGGGTCCTAGTAATATAAAAATATTATTTTTGATCCACAAAAAGAGAGCTTGATGTATTTTATTTGTACAGAGCAATATGATTAATAAGCAAAAACAATTCTTTTTACCTCATGTGGGGGGGGGAATAGGCTATTTTGGCAGATGATACAAGTGGTCTTTACAATCCCTGATATGAATTTACTTCCTGCTTCTTCTATCTCTATTGTTTTCTGTATTCATATTGGACGAAACTGGTATTAGCTTCTATGTTGGGAGGTGAGAGTACCACACACTGATTGGCAATTTTTGCACAGATGGTGGACACTCGCAAGTATCTCTATGTGTTGTTTATTTTCCCAGCCTATGAGTATTCTATGTTAAAAAAGGACAGATTTAATAGCTAAACTTTATGTATTTGTAAATATACCTGTACAAATATTATATTTTACTATTTGCTGCCTAAATATCTCATTCTATTATATATGTAGAGATTTTAATTGCTCTTTCTTCAATGTGTTATTTTTATACATGTTAAATTTATTGTCTACTCAACATTCTATTAAGTCAGTCTGTGGAAATTCCACGGATCCTACTAGTAATAATAAACTTACCATTCGAGCAACTAGATCATCCCTTGTTTCAATCCATCTCAATCGATGCTTAGTATTTATTGAGTCAATTCCTGAAAAGGAAAAGCTTTAAACTTTTCAAGATAAATCAAACTAAGGAATCAATTAAATCTAACAAAGACTCATTTTTATTTTCTATAGAAGTGTAAGTATATGAAGTAAAACATTATGGCTCCTGAAATGGATAAATATGTTAATTTATCAGGGCAATAATAATTGACATGAGGCCAGAAATGACCCAAATTCAGAAATACAATTAAAGTATATTATACCGGTTGAAAGTTTCATTTTTTACAAAGATCTTTTTTCATGGAAGAAATGTTTTTATATTTTACTAAAAACAAAAGTTTAAAAATGAATTACATATTAATCCTACTTGTTTAACCATAGATTTGCTTACTATTCAAGAGTTTGCTTTAACTTCTATCAGATAAATTTACATATGTATGTTGATTAAATTGGATTTATTTGGATTTGTTAGATTAGCAAAACAAAAAAAAAAGCATTGTATATACAGCATGAAACTGGAGAGAAATTTTAAGAAAAAGATATTTACCAATTATTACAAAAAAATTAACCTTTACTTTCATGTTTCATAAACATGGTTCCTAAAAACATTTTCTACTGTAAATTCAGAAAGCAATGTGAGTTCAACTACTTATACAAAAGAATCATTCATTAAATAAATACTGCTAGTGGTAGATATTGTAAGAAAACCACCAAAAAGATAAAGATAATGTTTTTATGAAGGTTCAAATAAACATTCCACATTCCCTTCCAGGGTACAGATGGCAATCATGGTTAAAGTAACATTTTGCTAGTAGTTGCTAACTACCTACCAATGCATTTCTCTATAATGAGACGGTCATGTAATGTTCCTGATGCAAGGTCTGCATTTTTCTGGGCCTGTAAGTGATAGATCTGCAGATTAGGACAATAGGTAGGATTTGGTATCAAAACTTCATTACTTTCATCTGATACTGGAATTTGCACAGGAGCTAAAAAAATAGCAAAAGGTGAAAGCATGATATATTGAGAAAAAATACTCAAAATAATGTTTAATATTCTTTTATTACAACAACAATATCTTTATACACATCATTACCAATACACAATCAATTCATCAAGGGTGTCTTAGTGTAATGGTAAGCAAGGATGATTATTACTACTGAGTAGTGAGTTCGATTCTCATTGGATCCACCATATGAAATTTGATATTTTAAATCAAACAAAGCGTAGCAATTTGTAAAAATCATGCAATTACAAAAGATATAGAACTTGTGATATATAGGCCTATTAAAAATGAAGTCTAAAAATGTTGCAGGTGATATAAGTTTATTATAGAGAACAATATTGAAAACATAGCAAAATAAACAGAAGCCATGGACACCTATTGGTGTCCATGGCTTCTGTTTAAAAGATATTAAAAGATAACATTATTGTTTTAATAAAACAAAGCTTTATAACATAAAATGGAGGAAGAGATGAATAATTTAAATACTGCGACATTCAAGAAAGAAAAAAAAGCAAAATCAGTAAAAAAAAATGTAGAGAGAAGAATTGAGTTATAATCTGATATCTAAACTTCATCTTTTATTTAAGTCTTTCATGACACTACTAAATTATCAAATATTAAGATCACTGAACAAAAAACATTCTATTTGTAGGGGTTTGTTAAAAACAACTAAAAAATTAATATACTACCCAATAGATGCAAAAAGGAAACATGATTTTCCTCTAAGAATTATTGTACAATAAATATATATATATTTTATATTTATATATTTCATATCTAACCAAAATCTAAATCTCTATCCTTCAATTTTTCTTGTTCCACCAGATGATTGCTATAAGAAACACAAACATAAATGCAAAAATCAAGAAAAGAATAGAGGCTATAAAAAATAACTCCTGAATGATGTGATTCTGAAAAAATATTTAATCATGAAAATTTAGCCTTGTTAAACCAAATAAAAAATATCACCAGAATGTACATCAAGAATTACATGGCAGAATCATTGTTGTTGTTTGAACTTGTTGCTGAGTATTGAGGTGCTCACAGACATTTCTTTTTGTGTGAGTCCTATGTTGGATCTGAAGAGATGTCTGCAGCCATCATATGGTAGGGTAGGAGGTTTAAGAGGATGGAGAGTTCTGGCTTTTCTTTGGGCTAACTTGGTCTCTTCTATTTGTCATCTGGTGTTTTTGAAAGATGTTTTTTATGGACAGCTCTTCTCCAATTGGTTCTTTCTACAGCTTCCATCTCCCCAATTGACTGGATCAATTTTTGTTCTCAGCAAGGTGTTTTTGAAACTAGTCTTTGAATTGATGATGTGGGGCTCCATGTCTTGCTAGATGCGAGTTCCAAGAAGAGGATTTGGTCTAGGTGTCTGGCCGATTGAAGTCAGTGGTAAGTCATGATAGTTTCTGGGCTCTCTATCTTTGTGCAGAGGAGAACTTTGATGTTTGTGATCTGGTCCTGTTATGTGTGCCACAGGATTTGACGAAGTTTCATTTGATGGAATTTTTCAAGTGAAGATGTCTCTTCAGTAGAGTACCCAAGTCTCACAGGCATACAGGAGAGTCAAGATTACAACAGCTCGGTAGACCATGAGCTTGGTGGTTTGTGTAGGTGGCCTTGATTCAGTTATCAACGTCTTTTTCAGCAGATGCATTTATGCTACCAAGGTATGGAAATTGTTCAACATTCTCCAGGTCCAGTTCATTGATGGTGATTTTGACTCCAGGTGGTGGTTGATGTATCAGTTGTGGTTGGAGCAGAACCTTAGTATTTGCGATGTTGATGGTGAGTCTTTAATGCCTGTATCCTCTGGAGAAGATGTCTGCTGTTCTGGAGGTCTTTGAGTTCATAAGCCAGAGTACAGTTGTCATCGGCATAATGGAATTGTGTGACTCATGCATTTGTTGTTTCGTCCTGTTGAAGAGTCCGCCATTGGTGCAATATTGAAGGTTGATTCCAGAGTTGACATCTGGAATTGCTTGAAGCATCTCTTCAAGTCCCCTTAGGTCTTAGATGTTGAACATGGCCCATCATTCACTCATCTACATCCATCTTGAAAGCAGCTGACATCATCACAGAATTCACCGAGACTCAAGACATTCTCGTGAGATGGCAAGAACACTTTTTTACCCTTCTCAATTGTGACTCCACTGCAGAATCAGACATGTCTCACAGCACCTGATGTGACAATGGATGTCTGCCAAACCTACCTATCATTAATTTCGAAATCAGTGTGGTTTCAGGACCAACAGAAGAACCATTGATATGGTTTTCTCCATGTGACAAATCCAGGAAAAGTGCAGAGAGCAGCAAAAACCCCTTGGAATGATTTTCTATGATCTTGAAAAAGTGTTTGACGATGTTCCAAGATCAGTAACAGTTGTTATGGATGCCCCAAGAAATTCATGGTACTCATCTGAATGTTACATGGCAGAACATAATGCAGTTAAGCAATGAGTATATTGCCAATAATTTAAAAAAAAAAAAATCATCATCATTCCAAGGATTATTCAGGCAATTGAAGTCATTTTGTTATTTATGCTTTTATGCTTTCATTCTAGCTTATCCAATCTAAGACTTTCTTGATATGTACTGTACTATCCATTTGATAAGAGAAGCACTCTTTTACCAGTAGTGAAAAGCAAAATGGTAGCAAACAGAATTGAAAATGTTAATTGTAACATTTGTAATATAGGTTATTACATTTTCAGCAACACATGCAATATAACCTATTGCATAATAATTTATATACAGTGATATTCATTTTTTTAATTAAGCAAATAGTTTGTTGTATTCACTAGATAGAAACATAGTTTTATTTGTAGACAACAAATAATTTTACACTAGAAACTCACATATCTGGAAATATACACATTTTAAAAATGAAATTAAGAACTATTTTAATTATTCTTAATATCTAATTAATTTATTCATAAAAAAAGATCTTCGTTCATTTTTCTAGTTTACAACAACTTTATTTCATGATTGGCATACACTGGCTTACTAGAAAACCCTTACAAAAAAATCTGATTTCATAAAATTTAACATTAAAATGAAACTGGCAACTATTTTTTTTAATTTTTACTTGCTATTTTGTTATTAGCTTAATTTTACCACAAAAAGTTTTTTTTTAAATTGAAACAAATAGATTTCAGACATCATGTTGTATTTCCTTTTTTTCTTCTTCATTTCTTTTGTAAATTAATAGATTTATTTCCTAAAACTAATCAATTAAATGTTTTTAAACATATTTTTGTTCAATCTTTTTCTCTTACAATGATATGAATGTTGAGGAATGTTGATAAAATTTAAAATTTAAATTTAATTTTAATAACTATTTAATTTAATTTTATTAACATCTGAAAGTCTCTTTAATAGTGTTTGTTCAGATATAGTCACTCAGTACTGATAGCACTTAAAAAAAAAAAAAAAAAAGAAAGATTTCAGTTTTTTAAAAAGATTGCAATGCAGTTTCACAGTGTGAAGATGAAACCGAAAAAAATCAGTTTTTCACTTAAACCGCCTCTATCTCTAATATATATATATATATATATATATATATATATATATATATATGAAGAAAAATATACTGAAAAAAACAAACAAAAATCCTAATATGCGATTATGCTGTTTTAATGTTTAATGTCAGCGTCAGACGTTTATATCTAATAGACCATCTTCAGGACATAATCAACATAAAAAAGACTATGGACATTGAATTGTATATGGTCTATGTTGAAAATGTTTTATGAATATGTCCTGAAGATGGTCTATTAGACCAAAAACATCCGACGCTGACATTAAACATTAAAACAGCATAATCGTGATATTAGATTTTTGTTTGTTTTTTTCAGTATATTTTTCTTCATACTGTCGGATCTATATCCATATATTTGCTTATATATATATATATATATATATATATATATATATATACACACACAGATACATACATACACACCAGATTTTTTAATTTATTCTTTAGGTATAGCCTTTCTATATTCCATGACTAACAAAGGAACACTGCCTGGTCAACAGCAAAAGAATAATATAAGGAAGTACAAATTTTAATATTTTTTGTTTTCTTTTTGAATGTTAGTCTTTCATTGAAGTTTAAACATAAAACCATACAAACTGTAAAATGTCATTTAAAAAGCAAATAAAAAGAAGAGGAACCCACATGGCTTAGAAGTTACGAAAACACATGCACACACATAAAAATGCAGCACATAATAAAATGGCTAGCTAGCAAATGCTTGTACCATCTCGAATGTCTTTTGAAGGAGACACACTTCAGAGAACTGGAAAGGATTTAACCATAATAATACACATCAAATGCATTGGAGTGGGTAATAAAGAGAATCCAACAAAGCAGGTATGACTGAATGAAAAATGTGAGTTTTCAAAAAACAATGTTTCTAGGCCACATAATCTTGGAAAATAGAATTGAACTGAATGCAGAAAAAAACCAAGACAAGCAAATTCCCAAATCCCACAAAAGATCAAAGAACTTCAATGGTTCACTGGCTTGGCAAAGTTTATTCCAAATATATCCTCATTAAATAAGTTGACGACAACTGCTTAGGAAAAAACAACTCTGGGTATAGGACCAGCCTCTGATAAACGTGTTATAGATAATCAAGGACAAACTCTTATCCACTGATGTCCTGACACACTATGATCTTAACAGGAGAAATATTGTAGCACTAGATGCAAGTCAGGATGGGTTAGGGGTAGTTCTTCTGCAAGTAGAAGAAAAAGGTAACTGTTGCCCTGTAGCTTATGCTTCAAGATCATTATACAGAAATGATACTCTCATAACTGCACTAGTTTGCAAAATATTTTCTAATTATATCTTAGGAACATTTACCTCAGAGACACACCAACGTCCATTAGTGCCTCTACTATCAAACACAGATTTATCATAGCTCCCACCAAGAATCCTAAGATTTTATCTCAGCTAGATACTCCAGAGGTAGTTTGCATACAAAGAATAGACCAAAAAGTAACAAATTCTCTGTCATGAGCTCCAATGAGTGAACCAACTTCTGATGACAATAGATTTATAGATGAAATAAATGAACACTCAATCACTCTTATAGGCTTTATGCCAGCAACAGAACAACAAATTGTTGAAAGCAGGGTAGCACAAGATAATGATGAGGTGTGCAGTCAGATAAAGCAATAGTTTGGAAGGATGGCTCTCAATCATGCCATCCCAATCACTACTCAAACTATACTGAGAGAATAAAAAACACCTGACAGTTACTCAAGGAATATTAATGTATAACATCAGGATTATAATTCCTTCATCCTTACAATTAAAGGTCTTGAAGAATATACATCAAGTATACTTAGGAATAACCCAATGCCAGAGAAGAGTCAGTTATTCAGTATGGTGGCCCCTAATCACAAAACAAATACAAGCTATGGTCAACAAGTATGTCACATGTGCTAAATTAAGACTTAACCCCCAAAAAACACTAATAGCATTATCATTTCCTGAAGGATAACAATAGTCTAGAGCAATGTTTCTCAACCTTATTCTGGTTGTGGCTCCCTTCAATCCAATGAGAGTTCTTTATGGCCCCTCCTGTCAACTTGAGTTCTTGCATCAGCAATGAAGGGATCCACAAACCAGTGCGGCATTGTCATTTGGAGTAGATTAAAGAAGTGAGTTTTCATATCATTCTGCAACTGCTTCAAATGATCAACATACACTGCTAGGTCATCATCAAGCAGCTCGGTGGATATATTTGCTAAGGAAGGAAACTGTACTGCAAAGTCCCTTCTCTCGAGGTTCAACCAGAACAGCTTTAGTTTCCCCGTTAAATGCATTAAGTGCCTTCTTGCAGGAAAACAGGGTGGAGTCATTTTCATGGAGCTCTTTCTTCAGAATGTTTAGCTTTTCAAAATTGAAAGACAAGTTGGTGAAAATGTACTATAATTTAAACTTTAAATTATGAGTTTTAAATTTTAAGAAATTGAAAACTAAAAACTGCCATTTTGCATAGATCAGTTGAAAAAATTACAATAAATAAATATTTATGTTAACAAAATGGTTTAGATTAATTTAATATTTAACTTAATAATAAATTTAATATTTTATTCTAAATAATAATTATTAATTACAAGCACTATATATATATATATATATATATATATATATATATATTATATATATAATTTTGTGGGTACTAATTTTCTGTGCCCCTCCCCATTTTTGAATCTTAGCCTTGTGGCCCCTGAAAATATCTCATGGCCCTCAATGGGGCCATATTGCCTTTATTGAGAAACCTTGGTCTAGATTATAAACAGATCTATTTGAAATAGACAAGAAATCCTACCTTATGGTAGTAGATAACACCAGCTGTTGGTTTGAAATACAAGAACTACTGAGACCTGGTCCCAGATATAGCCTGGTCACATCACTGAATAGCATCTTGTCACTTCAACTGCAATCTGGTTATTGGCATAAGGCAGAACTGGCCCATGAACTGGCTGAACAGATCCTCTCAATGCTGAAGTTGGGTCTGCTGGATCACAAGGGGTTGAGTGAGTTTGTGTATCACAAAGTAACAAAATTGCACCGTGGTAAATTTTAATAGATCTTTGGATCCATGAGAGACAAAAAATAAAGTGTTGTCAAACTTCCCAAATTATTGTAAGTTCATTTATGAGAGAAACAGCCTAAAATAAGCAAGCAGCAGCAGTCATTTGGTTCATTGGGTGTCCACAGTTCTGTTCTAGATGAAAAATATCATCTCCACTTCTCTCCTGATAATTCTCTCTTGAGAATTTCAAACTAACCTGGGTGACTGCTATTAGCTGTTTATATAAAAATTTACATTTTTCTGGAGAGAGGCAGAACACGTTGGGGCGAATCACACCTGTTGGTAAATATTTTTGCAGTATTAGATTCTTCGTCCTCCCCCCTAACCAATTCACAGTAGAGATTCTGATTTTATCCGGCTAAGAATTTCCCAATAAGATCAACTGGTTTTGCCTGACAGTTCTCGGCATAGTATTTCTTTATTTCTTCCTTTCCTGGTTTTGTTTTATTCGGATATAGGTGTCAGAAAGCTTTGTCCAACACTGTAGGAGCGTATTTGTTACATGAAGATTTAGATAACTGAACAATCTCCAATGACTAATTGCATGTACACACATTCCATACTTGTTAACATTATATTTTCCTTCAGTCAAATTAACAGATTGATTTTCGAATCCTGAAGGAAACTTACATTTTTTAAATTATTGTTCTTTTTGCTTTTACCCACACTCCATTCTTGTACACTACAAAACACAACATTAGGAGCAATTATCAGAGCTTGTCAGAGGTTTTGTTTACACATCGAATACCAGATATTGTCATTTCTAACAATGGGCCCCAATATAGCAATGGACAATTTAAGGAATTTGCTGAAGACTTGGGGGTGGGGGGGTGTTTACACACTTAACCTCCACTTCCTTGCATACTCAAAAAAATGGTGACTCAGAAAAGGCTGCTCAAACAGCTAAAAACATCAGAAAAAACAAAAAAATACAGTTAGGAGTACTGTCATATAAGTCAGCCCCACAAAGCAATGGGGCTACTCCCAGTGAAATATTAATGGGCAGGAAACTAAGGATTAAACTGGAGATAATAAATAATCATGAACTTATCAAGGAGGAGAATTATATAAAAAGTCACAAAAATAACCACATGTCTTGTTATAAAACCTTCCCTATCCTTCAAAAAGGAGACAGGGTTTACATTCAAGACCAACATAAATATGGAGAAGTTACAAATAGGACAAATAACCCTAGATCATACCAAAAATGACTGATGTATGTTCTCTCCTAAAGAGGAACAGATGTTTTCTCATCCACATAGAAGACAGATGCATGAACCAGACAGACATACCCCAAGATTCACAACCAAAAGCAAACTTTAAAAAATGGTAACACACTCCCATTAACTACAGAAATGGCTACATGAGAGAGTCATTAGTCAAATTAAAACAAACATGCTATGTACTATTATTCAAGACAAACAGGAAATTCAAATATCACAAAAGTGTTATATGAACTTGAGTGGGGATGTTGTATAATGCCAGATCTTGTATAGGCAAGACTACAAAGCAAGATCTAAATCAAATGTGACAAGGGAGTTAGGTTAAAATATAAAATATTTAATAACATATACAGTTTTATATAAACAGCCAAATACTCACCTTTCTTTTGTAGGGACTCTACTCCAAATAAGCCAGCAATAACACAGCAAAGTGATTTCACTGTGCGATTGATATTTGTAGACTTGAGGCTGAAAGGTCCAAGATTGGTTCAGGTAATTTTGAAAAATATTTAAAAAAATTATGGATTTGAAAGTGCAGAGTTAGCCTGATAATTAACGGTGCAGAAAATGTAATCAGAAAAAAATAAAAATATTCAAGTTCCAGCAGAGGTAGTTTGTGTTCATGTCAAACTAATGCTTTTGAGAAAGGTATGCATTCCCTTCTTTTTATAGGTCAGGTTAACGATCACTACCTGTTGCTGGTACAACTTGTCACATTTGAAGAATACACAAACTATCTCAGCTTTAATCAAGTTCAAGTTTTTTTCATTTTGTTCTTCAAATCCAATAAAAAATTGAAAGAGTAAATATTCAGGAGCTGATTCCAACAGATATAAAAAAAATATCTGAAGTTTGGTAACAAGAGTTTTTTCTCAAATACAGTAAAACTCAGTAGAAATAGAAACATAGTAGCAATTTACGATATTTTTCTCAAGTTGCTGAAAATAAAAAAAAATTCTTATTAAAAATTAAAGGTTTTAATCTTACAAATTAACAGGCACATGAAGAAATTATATAATGAATTCATATTATTTCTTTTTTTATGTCATGTACTTACAAGTATGGGCGATTATGACTCTCCACAACTTCCTGTAACTCTTGCTTCTTTACTACCCACTTTTTCTTGTTCTGTTATTCATTCACTCAAACCTGACAAGTAGGTTACTATTTCCCCTTACCTTGAATATGTCCTGTCAGTGATAAGTTCCCTAAGGTTCCTTTATTTTACTGAATAGTATCCAACCAGAAAAAAGAATAAACTATTAAATTAGCAGATCATTTTCTTTTAGTTTTCCACACAACTGAATCCCAGTAGAAAAGAACCATACGAAATAGAGGCCAAGTATATGGTTTGACAAATATAATAAACAAAAATATCTCCTGAGAAAAAAAAGTACCAGATTTATCAGAGGTATATTTGGATATTCATAATGTCTTTCATTATAAAAAGAGAATACTGACCTAGAAGAAGTCAATTCATTTCACCAACAGGGAGAGTGTAACAAATCATATTGTGCTATATATGAAGCTTACAATTAGGAGAATGGCTCTTGTAGTTCATCAAGCCATCTCTGTTGTAGAGAAACAAATTGTATACATGCAGCAAGTGTTTGTTGCTTATGTAGATGAGCTAGATCCCAGTCAAATAATGATCATTCATCAACAAAAATGGGGCATGAATGAATATTACTCATTATAATGGCAAACATTACTTGAAGCTCATAGATTGTGGTCCTGCAATTTATGAACATCATTTTTGGCAAGACTCTGCAAGTTTTATCAACTAGAGCTATTTTTTTTAGGAATGAAGCTCACTAGCAGCAGAGCTTCTCACTGATAATGACACTGCAGTAGAATATTTAAGAATTTTGTGGATAAATTGGGTATCCAGCTTCAATTTTGTTGTGCATACATAAAAGGAATAGCATAATTAAAAAGGGTCAGGAGTATCAAAATAATTAACACTAGGAAACAGTGTTCTATTATGGAGGCAGTGTATTGGTTCAATGTAACTCCAAATGACAATGTTTCAACCTCAGCTGCACTTGCCAACATAATATGCATCTAACACATCTGTATTACCTCTTTATCAGTAGTGTGTGCAGTGAAAACTATAAACTTAAAAAATTAGTAGTTTATTCATGGTTTGGCAACCACAGTAATAAATAAAAATTTTCCTGGGAAGGAAACATTGATATATACAGATGTATTTGAATATTCATAATAGTTTTCAATATAAAAAATGAATGCAGACCTGAAAGAAATCTATTCAGTTCACTTGTGATAAAAGTTTAACAAGTCTTGTTGTGATGGGAAAAGTTAAAGGGTGAAATTCATTTAACTTAGAGTCTACTTTATTCATTAAAATCTGGAAATTTTAGTATATTAAAATATTTTTAAAAGTAAAAGAAAGAAAAGGAGACATTTATAAGTTAAAAAGAATATTTCTTTTTTACTTCAAGTCATCTGAATTTCTGAGATGATATGTCAATACAAAAAATCAGATTTTGCTCTTGTTACTACAACCTCTCTGTTCTTTATGGTGTTCTCCAAACATGTCACATTTGATAGGTTTTCAGTACTATGTTTCAGGTATATTACATTTACACATCACATTTCATGTTCTTATGGAATTCATAACAATTTTTCTCTCCTCTCAACTCAGAGATTGAACCCACAACTTCCAGAGGACCAAATGAACTTTTGTCCCCTGATTTATTTTTTGCCTTATACCTAATGTCAATTTTTTTTTTAATTAGAGACAGGTAGTGTTTATATTTATGTTAAGCCTAACTTGGATTTTCTAAGTCTTCAATAGGTTCTTAAACAAGAAGATATCAATTATTAAGAGCACTTAATGACATCAAATCTGATGAAATTTAAAAATTGTTTTTTAGAATAAAGCTTTCTATAATGCAAATATCATTTGTAATCAATGAATGGGTACTATATATACCTTTAAAAAGTCAATTATTTATAATGATGCATTATGTTTTTAATAAATTAACATGCTCAGCAATATTGTATATTTTATCAACCTGTATTTATGCACAGTACAGCTACTGTAGTAAATGAAGTTGAAATACATTTCAGTAATGATAGAAGAAATTAATTTGAAAAATTGACCATTATATTAAGGAAAGCAAAAGCATTTTATTAATTAAATTAACTATATGCTCTTAATATGTTTTTAAATAGTCCTCTCAGATGTTTGAGACAATGCTGTTTTGTCATTTTTCATGTGATATGCTTCTAAAATAAATAAAATTTCAAAGTTCAACATTTATGAACACAGTTAAAATTATTGATAATAATAATAGATGAAGACCTATAAATTTTTTTTTTGTATATTGATAATGTTACTGAGACTGATGATTTTATAAATACCCTTTATTAAGAATCTCTTACACATCTCTAAATTGCTTGTTTGATGAATTGTTGAAGAAACAATTGTTTTTTATATAAAACATTTAATTAGAATTAATTTAGTTCCATTCAAACAATTATAATAAACAAAAACAAGATTAGAATGGAAGAAATTTAATTTATAGCATATATAACTAGTGGACTAGCAAAATAATTGCTAAATGTTTACACATTCATAGCCTTTACATAATTTCTCCTCATGACCTAATAAGTAAATAATGAAATATCCTGCCTTTAATTCCCCACTCTTATACATGTAAAAGTTTTGTCAAGAGTTTGATACATACAACAGTAAGAATTGGTATATGTAGCTCAATAGTAAAGAAAATGATTTACTTTTGAGGGAAAACTAAAAGTTATATAGATGAAAAACCAAATCAATAATGCAAAACATCACACTCAGCAAATAAATATTTTGTTGTCTAAACCACATGCAGATACAATCTGTTTAATAATAAAAGAGTAAAAAAAAATAATCTTTCATCAGAAATCAAAAATTAAGTGCTGCGTTACTCACAAAATTTGGTCCTTGTTATATTCTTGATCGATCAACTTATGGTGGACAACATAGTCTTTCTTTAAAACCTGGCCCAAGTTGTAGGTCTGCTGCTGACCCAGAAGGGTCAACTGACCACTTAAACAACCTCCCTAATAAATATGTAAACAACAAAGTTATTTACTTGAAATAATAATAAATAGAAAATTGATTTGAAGAGAAGATTGAATACAGAAAAGACTGAAAATATTTAAGTTCTGATTTATGCATACAGTTAAATAAAAAGAAAGTTTCTTAAAAATTATGAGAAAAAACTGTAAGTATATTTGAATACCACAAAAGTTTTATCTACAATAAAAATATACGTTAATTACAGTTAGTATCAAATAATATTCACATAAGAATGATTACATAATAAGAAAAAACATTTTAAGTGAAAATAGCAATTTACCCAAGTTGAACATAGATTTTTAATGACCAAATGTGTTGAAGTTAAATTTTCCATTAGAATGTTCTTTCTCTATAAGGTCAAATTTTACACATATTTAATATTTTATTGAAATAACTATTTCCTTTTCTGACTTAATAAAATTATTTAATCTTATTTCTTAATTTTAGAACATACCAGATACACATGTTAGATTGATGACAAAGTTAGCAGAATGTTATGCAAAAAGTGTCTTAAGGTTTACTCAGCTCTTTATTGCTTGTGCAATCAGTCAACAGTAGGACATCATTTACAAGACTTAAGAACATTTTACAGTTGCATAATGATATCAAAAAGAAAATTGGAATATTTTAAAAAATTCCCTTGAAAATAGACTTTAGAGGTTTATTTGTTCAAAAGTGTGTATTCTTTCTAATATTTTTATTTCAAAATTGTTTAAATTGTCATTTTTTTATTTTAAATAATAATTATATTAAATAAAAAGATTAACTTAAAGGTGTAATATATTAAAAAAAAAGCATTTTTTAAGTGCAACAGTGTTTAAGTTAAACTTATAGGCAAAATTTTGTATATTTCTTTTCTTATTTAGCAATTTTTTAGCCATATAAAGATTTTTTTAAAATACTATAGGGCATCACTGTGCTTTGCCAATGATTTTAAAAATATTATAAAATTTTTCTTATCAAATCTTACTAGTATTGCAAATCTAATTGTAGTGAAAAGAAGGTTGAGGTTCAGAAAGCTAAGTTTGTGTACGGGACTCATTTGGGAGGTCACCGGACTGAGTTGCTTCCCTTCGTAATCAGAATTGCCGTAGTCCTACTAACTTTAAAAAACAGTAAAATTGTTAGAGTAACGCCTCAAGCAAAGTCAGTTAATTCAAAGACAATGGATGCCTTTATGAAACCGGACCGCTTCAGTACAGATCCTATTTTACCAGTAACACATCTTAGACATTAAAAAACATTGGATACGAATGTTTTTAATTTCACAAATTCATTAATGACAAACATTCTGATAAACTACGTCGCATCGAACGTTTGTCGCAAAATGGGTAAAAGAAAATCTAGAATCGGGCCATAAAATAGGGACCATAATTCGCGAGTTAAAATTTATATATATATATATATATATATATATATATATATATATATTTGTTTTATATTTTCAAATAAATTTTATTTTTTTCGATATATTCCCATTCTTGCTGATACTTGGGTTCTTTTTCTCTTTAAATCAAGCCAGCTATTCTCTATTATGAACTAAAGATTCGTGTAACTTGTAAATCAACAAAATTATTTTCAGGAATTTATAGCTTTTTGATTGTACTACAAATCATTTAGAGTGGTCTAATCATCACTAAATGAGCATAAACATTATTGTTCAATGCATCTTTGGATGACTGCTTTTAGAACCACCTGAGGATGACATATTCTGATGCTTGCAAATATGTTCCAATTCCTCCTATGAATGACCTTCCTAGGCTCCAAGATCCAGAGGTCATGTTTAATGACAGTGGAATAAAACTGAAGGAAATTCGGGAATTTTTCTGCAGTCCCATGCCTGCAGTGCACCTTGAATAAATGGAACATCCTACAAGCTATATAATAATTGTCTAAATGTCTTCAAGCAACTCGCCATCCTTCCCGTGGGCATGGAAACAAGCTATTGTACCACAAGTATGAAGCTTGGCAGATGTCATTTGAATACCTAAGGAAAAGAATGCAAAAAGCATTGCAAATTTCCACCCCAACTCCCTCTTGAATGTCCTTGCCCATCGTATGACGGACTTCTTGCTAGGTAACCATTATATAAATGCAGCTGTCTAGAAAGCCAGGATACCTGGCTTCCCAGGTTGTCTGGAGCATTCACACATGATTTAGAACTCAATCCTATCAGCCAAACAAAATAAATCTGAGCTTCATGTAATTTGGCTTGATCTCACAAATGTGTATAAATCAATTCCTCATGAGCTAATTCAAATGTACCTCAAAGTTTCACTTTCCCTAGTATGGTTGAGAAATCATAATGAAATATTTCAGAGCAGCATTTATACAGTTCACCATTAGTAACGACACCACCAAGTGGCAAGCCCCCAAGGTCTGCATTATGATGGGGTGTGTAATTTCGCCACTTCCTTTTGTATAATGGGGTGCAACAGTAAAGAGAGTGATGACTAAAGAACACATAGTCCTTTCTCCTTCCAGAGCATTCATGGATGACATCACCATTCTGGTCCCATCTAAGGTCAGTGCCAATGAACTGCTGTAGCACTACTATAAATTCTTCACATGGGCAAGAAACCCAAGAAAAGCCAGAGCTTATCATTACTCAGAGGCTCTGTCAGGAACATTCACTTCTGCATTGGGAATGACATGATTCCAACAGTTAAAGAGAAACCAGTGAAGAGCCTTGGATGGCTGTATGAAATTCCACTGGGTTGATTGTCACTGAGGTAAAGAGGTGCAAAAAATGGCTCTAGATGGACTTAAATCCATTTCCCCAACAAACTGGTGGCTTGGTTCTACCAATATGGTTTGCTGCCTTGGTTTCTGTGGCTGTTGCTGGTGTATGAGCAAGTACCAGTGCAAGTGGCTTGGTGTACCCCACCCCACCTGCTTCTCCACATTGGGACTCTATACCAATGTTGAAACCTGTAACTTCCTATCTCAACATTGGTGGAGGAGTTCAAGGTCGGAAAGGTATGTCTTCACATTCATCCGCATATCAAAACTGGCACCAAATGGTCGGCAGTAGAAGCCACCCAAAAAGCAGAATCCAGCTTGTGAACCAAGGAGATTATGGGGGTGATCCCAATCAATTGAGTTGACCTGGACAGCACACACAACCAGCTTTTCTCCAAACAGGGTCCAAAAGGAAAATGAGACATGGGGATTGAAGAAATCAGGAATTTTGAATAAGAGCAGTGAACAGCTACTACTGTTTCTCAGTCCAAACAATGTGCTTTGACTACATGCAGTGATATTGATCCAAGGAAGCTATAATGGAATATCCTGATTGCAATGGAGCCATTGGCAATATCATTCCTCCTGCGATCGACCTATGATCTCCTACCAAATGCGACCAACATGGGGGTACACTGACACCAATGTATGCACATTATGTCAAAGTGATTGAAGCACTTTATGTCACATGCTCTCTGCATGCCCACATCACTGCAGATGTACACACGACGTCATAACAAAGTACTGTGTACAGTGTGAAGCAGCCAATAAACAGCCTGTAATGACCAGAAGACCCCAAAAATCTCCCAACTGAGTGGAGTCCGTGATTGGAGGGTGTTAGTTGATCTTAGAACACTTATGCATTTTCTGGTACACATCATTCAGATGGACACATGCCCTGACATTGTAGTGTGGTCTGATTCTGTAGTGAACGAGATAATCAAGTACCCCGGAAAAAAGTTTGTGTTTTGTGTGTGATCTGCTGGGGAGGGATTGCAAAAAAAGAAGTCAGCAAAAAATTATAGCTACTTACCTCATAACCCAAACGACAGCGCTGGCTGCGGTATTCTGGGGGACTAAAAAAGAAACAAGTCCGTCGCAGGAGTCGCTATAAGAGGATATTAATATGCAAATTACGGAGCATCCTATCCCGGCTGTCGCATTTAATGGAAAAAAATAGGTTCTGCCGATAAAAGCAGTTGGTGTTGTCGACTCGGGAGGAAAAAAAATCGGCAGTTTTGGCTACGGCGTTCAATGAGTTATTTTCCTGACGTGTTACAAGTGATTTTCTTTCGTTGTGTTGTGAAAGCCACAAATTTGCTTTGAGAACGCTTACACTTGTGTCTTCCTAGTAGAATTAACAGTTCCATGGGAGAAGAACAAAGAGGAGGCACACAAGTGAAAGTAAAACTATTACAAATCACTGTGATCCAACTGTGTGGAAAAGGGATGGACATGTCATGTGTTACTCATTAGGTCGGGTGCCATGGATTCCTTGGATGGTCAATCATTTCCTTCCTTTTGAAGGTGGGCATCACTGGCTGGTACTTGAAGTGTGCTTCACATTGTCTCCAGACCACAGCTCAACAGGCATTGAGTTGGGTCTGGTAAAGATCCAAAATAAACAAAGTTAATTGAAATCATGCTCACAACACAATGCTACTTCCAATATGAAACACATCTATTTACCTTCCATTCTATGTCATTGATAACAGTTGCTACAAGCATGTTGTGTATTGGTTAACAATCAAAAGCAAACACTTTTAACACAATGTTGAAAATCTGAATTGCAGTTGCATCAAAAAAAAAAAAAAAAAAATCACAGAGACTGACATGTCTACGCAAAAAACAATACCCTGTCTGGTGGTGGAAGTTGCTGGTGTTGTCGGGAGTGGCACTGAAACTGTGTTACCTCTCTTGGTTGGCGGCTGATAAGGGCAGATGCTTTCACACATTGCATGTAGAAAGAGAAAATAGAGTGCTTCTGGTACTATCAGGAACAAATTCTACAAAGTAATTAAATTCTTCAGAACTTCTTTCATTTCCTCCAAAGAGCAATTGTTGATGAAGCATGCAAATTATGTTCACGATTCTAGATTTTTATGAAATAATTATGGGGATCTTCTAGTCTAAAGACTTGAAAATTTGTATATCAAACCAAAAAAATGAGATGTTCCCATCACATTCTTGTCACTACAACCTAGTGAAACACTGGATCAATTTTTAATAGAACTGAAAA